AACTTAAGTTTCTGCCTATGCTGATGATAGTATTTTTCAAAATAATGATAAATGTGAATAGACAGCTATAGAACCGCAGAAACAATCTTGTGGGCGGGAAGGCATTTGATTGGAGCGGTGTGGTTCTATAAATGTTCTTGCAGCCGTATTGCCTTAATGAAATATGATGAAAGAAATAATAAGATGATAAGATTAATAAGATTTAACAATGGCTCTTTACATCAGAGAGCCGGTTCTTCATCCACTGAAAATCGAATTAATTTTTTTGTTGATTTCATGGAGGTAGGAAAACCAGAGAACCCGGAGAAAAAACCCTCATATCACAGGAGAGAACCATGCAAAAAACAACTCTATTCACATACGACACCGAGCCGAGCGCAGTAAGAAGTAATGAGGTATTAGAATGATCAAAGATATTGATGCGTGTTTACATTTTTTCCGTAAAAAAAAGAAGAAAATTGTCATCGTGGCGACCGCACTAAGCTTCAAAAGTTTTGTCTTACCATTATAGCTCAACTGTAGCATTTGTTTGCCAGTAACCATCTCATGGATGGTTGAAGAACTTACCTCACCATCACATGAAAGTAGATCTTAAGAGTGTTTTAGGTCTCTCCCTTGATTGAAGATTTTTAAATGATAAAGATTCGATAGTTTACGCATGCACAATTTTAACTTTTCGCGAAGACTGTTGTGCTGCAAGTATTAACATTTTCGTAGTAGTGTCGCACGACAGCGACAAAAATATTCGAAATAGCTTGCTGCAATACAGTGGCATTACGATGCTCGCAAAAATATTCGGATTTGCTACATTAAGCCTGGTTTCCATATAATCGAAAACGATCGGAACGATCGAAATAAGAAATTTTTCGATCGTTCGCAATCATATGGAAACAAAGTTTTTCGATCGTACGATCGTTTTGGATCACGATCGTAATCGATTGAAAAATTAGAACCGGGTTCTAAGTTTGCGATCCGTCTCGATCCGTGTCGATCGTCTGCGATCATGAAAACACTTTTTTTTCGATCGTACGATCGTAATGTATTAAACATATCGTTTTTCCGAAAATGCAATGCTTCCTAAACTGTAATGCCATAGCAACGGTTTGATTGTTTACGAACTGTCCGCAGGCGTTTGATTATTCTGCCTACTCAAGCCGAAAAAAATATCCTGAACGTCCGAAGCTTCTTGAAACGAAGGAAAAATGTTCCATCAGGTACTGGCAGGGATGCTGTGCCTAGGGAATACGCAAATCTCGACTGGCTCTCTGTATACATCAAACATCGAGAGGCCAGCTCTAATTTGGAACTTTGACCTTTTTTGATTATATGGAAACGGTCGTTTTTTTTGTTTTGTTTTGTTTTTGTGATCGTACGCAGTTGGCTCCACGATTCCTGTGACCGTTCTCGATCGTTTTCGATTATATGAGGCTTTTACCTGCATTACAGTGTTTCGCGAAAATTATTGATACCATTGATATTTTTACTCGTGAAGCACGACAGTGCTTTACGAAAAAATAAAATTGCTCATTTTTCTTCAGCCAGTCAGTAGTTACAAAATGAAGCAGAATATTAGCAGAATACTGTCTCATAAAATTCAATCCATTATAAATATTCTGGTTTGTCTAATATAGACGAACGACATTATGTTGACTCCCACTAAGGTTTGGATTAGTAGTAAGATTTGTCGAGATGTTTGATGAATTACCGGATATGATAATAAGACCATTCTACGATGAAAAATGATTGTCCCCAACTAGCCGTTTTTATAATATAATTTTTTTTTTTCAGCTGCCGTCGATATATTATGTCGAGTTTCCTATTTTTATTAGTCATTGCTAATTGAATGGCACAGCTAGAGCCTAAAAAAGACTTTTCCAGTATAAGCGACCAATCAAAATTGAATTCTTCAAACAAACTGATTCTCATCATGCTTTTAAGTTAAAAAGATTTTTCGCGACGGCAGGAAATGCGAAGCCGAAGCAAATATCCTTCAAAAACTAACTAAGTAAATGTTATTTTAAAACAAAACTTTTTTCCGGCCCGTGAATTAATCTACATGGAAACAGGGCTGTAGTTTCTTCATAATACAAACTGCAATTTCCCTACGGGAATCGGCCATCAAATATTTTTTGTGTTTTAGTTCGCAACGAACTTGACTCGTAAGTAATCATTCTTTTTTCGTTCCTGTATCCTCACCATCATTTCATCGGATATGTTCTTCTTGTGTCCCCATCATCATTTCATCCCACTGATCAGTTGTTCTTGTTTCCCCATCATCATTTCATCGCACTGATCAGTTGTTCTTGTAACCCCATCATCATTTCATCGCACTGATCAGTTGTTCTTGTAAC